TTTTCAATTTAATTGATCCTTTCGAAGAGCCAGCTATTGGTTACACTGATTTTCTTTACTATTTTAAAATTTCCCATTTCATTGATTTCTGCTACTATCTGTATCATTTCATTCTCCATAGTACTTTGAATTTAATTTGCTCTTCTTTTTATAGACTTTTAAGGTAGAAGCTTAATGGCTTTAGTTATTTTTGTTTAATGTAAGCAATAGAAGCTATAAAATTCCTTCTAAATGCTGTTTTATAGATATAAATCACACAATTTTGATTATGTTTTCATTATCACTGGTCAACTATTTCCTAATTTCTCCTTTAATTTCTTTTATGAAATATGGGTTATTTGGAAGTATATTTAAATTCCAAATATTTAGAAATTGGTTTACCTTTCCATTGCTAATTTAAATTTAATTCCTTTTTTGTTTGAAAGCCTATTCTGAGTAATTGTATTCTTTTAAATTCATAGAAACTTTTTTTGGCCTAAGATATAATGTACCTTTGAAATATAACACAGATTCCACAATGTGGGAATAGTGCCTTGTGTATGTGTATATCAATTAGGTCAAGAAGTTCCAAGACTTCTATAGCCTCACTAATTTTCTGATTTCCCATCAGTTAATGACAGCCAAAAGTTGGTATCTCCATTCATAGCTGTGGACCTGTCAATTGCCCCATTGGTTTTGTAACTTTATAATTTCCATATTCTGAAGCTTAATCGTTAGTTGCATACATATTTAAGATAGGTATGTCTTCTTGATAAGTTGGCACTTTTATCCCCAGGAAGTGTTTCTCATTTCCTCTGATAACTTTCCTTATGCTGGAGTCCATTTTGACATTAATACGGCTGTTCCAGCACTCCTATGTAGAACTTGAAGGCATACCTTTCTCTTTTTAAGAAATCTATCTTTATATTTAAAGTGTGTTTCCTTTGGTTGTGTCTTATTTTAAAAAGAATAATTCTGTGCTATCTTTATTTCTGCCTGAAAAAGCTACTCTGGCAATCTCTACTCTATAGATAGCTTCACACCACTAACCTTTATTGTGGTTATAGGTTTGGTCAGATTTAAGTAAGACTACCATCCTGCCATTTGTTTTCTATTATCCTAGACCTCTTTGATTTGTCAGTGGTCGCTCTAGAGCAGTGGTTGCTCTAGAGCAGTGGTTTTCAACCTTCCTAATGCCATAAGTAGCAGTGAAAATAATTTTATGGCTAGGGGTCATCACAACCTGAGGAACTGTATTAAAGGGTTGCAGCATTAGAAAGGTTGCGAACCACTGCTCTAGAGTTTTCAACAAGTAGTGGAGTCTACTTTCAAATACTATTATACTGTTTTACCCATAACAATTTGGAAGTTCATTTTTTATGTCTCCCTTCTTGTCTCTTGTGATACTGCCATACATTCTACTGTATGTTCTCAACTACACAATACATTGTTATTTGTACTTTAAGCAATTACTTTTTTTTTTTTTTTTTGGAGACAGAGCCTCAAGCCATCCCCCTGGGTAGAGTGCCGTGGCATCACAGTTCACAGCAACTTCTAACTCCTGGGCTCAAGCGAGTCTCCTGCCTTAGCCTCCCAAGTAGCTGGGACCACAGGTACACGCTACAACGCCCAGCTATTTTTTAGTTGCAGCCGTTATTGTTGTTTTGGAGGCCCAGGCTGGATTCAAACCCGCCACCTTAGGTGTATATGGCTGGTGCCTTAGCCACTTGAGACACAAGTGCCAAGCCTACAATATGAAAAGATTATTTAAATTAATCAACATATACATATGCTTTCAAGTTCCTAATTCCTTTGCAGGGATTCAAGTTCACAACTGGTATAATTTTCTTTCAACCAGAAAAACGCACTTTAACATTTCATATGGTATAGACCTAGATTCTTAGCATAAGTCTGGCCAAAAAAATATTTTATTTTGTTCTCATTTCTAGAAGATAGTTTGGCTGAATAGGTTATTATAGGTCGAGAGCTGCTTGTTTTCCAGTACTTTATATATTTATTACATTGTCTTTGGGCTTGTATTTCTTTTTGAAACATTCTCATATATGTTCCCTATATTTAATGTCTTTTTTCCCTCTGTCACTTTATTTTATCCTCACACTGGTTTTCAGGAATTTTATAAGGATGTGTTTTCACATGGTTTGTTTTTTATACTGTCTATAGTATTTTGATCTTAGGACATGTGTCGGTTTATTGATTTTTTTTTAATCAAATTCAGAAAATGACTATTTTCCTTAAAAGACTTTTTCTGACTTTATCTTTCTCTTCTCTAATTTTGGTATTTTAATTAGACTTACATAAAACTGGTTGGCTTTCTCCCATAATGCACTGAGGTTCTGTTGATTGTCTTTTATCTGTGTTTAAATTTTGGCAAATTCTACTGTCATGCCTTCAAATTCACTGATTTTTTTTTTCCTGTGGAGCCTACACTTATATTAAGCATATCAAGTGAAATTTTCTTTTCAGGTAATGTATTTTTCAGCTTTATGTTATAGTTAGTACTCTTTTAATTATCTATTTTCTCATTGTATTTAAGTTTTCCTTTACATCTTTGAATATATTCATAATATTTGAATCCCTTTTTAAAGTCTTTGCTAATTCCATTATCTTTCTCATTTCTGGATCTGTGCCTATCAACTGACCTGTGGATTTTTCACATGACTAGTAATCTTAACTACATCCTGACTACTATGAATAATAAGTTGTTGAGTGGCAGGATTGTGTTCTTTCCCTTGGTGGTGATGATTATTTTCACATCATTTGCCTATTTGGCCCCAGGCATCTAAATTTCCTGTGAAACAGCTGATCCTTTGAAAGTTTTTGAGGATAATGAAGTAAAAATAAAGTAACCTTCACTCTAAAGCTGGTTTATCCCTTACACTATGGTGTTATCTTTCTTTTGTCTTTACTAAATACCCTCTGTGTTTAATGAGGTCTGTCTCACCAGACTGGATAGAATTTAAACATATCCCAATGCTGTCTCACCAGACTGGATAGAATTTAAACATATCTCAATGCTGAGAATCATTTGAAGGGATGACAGTAGAATTTACTACACTTAAACACAGATAAAAGTATTTATGGTACTCTGAAAAATGTTTCTGCCTGGCTTCTTGGCGTTTCACCCTAGAATATGCAGAAAAAGGAACCCCCATGAAAATTTCTGAAATTCTTTACATATCTCCCTCAGCTCTGGTACCCTCCTCAAAATCCTAGCTATTTCAGACTCCCTGAGCTCCTATTTCTACAATGCCCCCAACTTCTGCTCAGGTTTTCCTATTCCCTGTGCCACGGGCTGAGGAGGACCTACAGTTAGGAAATGAAGGCCAGGTGATGCTAAGCTGCCTTCATTTGTTTCACTTCTCTCTATAATCATAGTCCTAGAATGCCAACTGTCCCAATGTCAGAAAACACTCGTTTCACATATTTTGTCCAGTTTTCTAGTTGTTTGAAATGCAATGGCATGTTCTATGCCAGTTATTCCTTCACAGCCAGAAATGGAGTCTGGCACATTCTATTTAGTCATCACACCTATACATCATTTTAGTTTTGAGAGATTCACTATTTTTTCTAGTTTTCCAGATAGGAAACTGGAGCACGGAGATGGAATTTTAGCCATCTAAACAGGCAAACACAAATTATTAAGAAAATATACAGATGCAGAAACTATGTGACAGGAATAATGCAGTAGAAAACGACCTTAAATAGTTTGTTTCTTCTGAAACCAACAGCTCAGTAACAGCCCTAAGGCACCTGATACTTCAAGAAAGGCAAGGACTCCAGGTCTTCACTCTCATCCGTACACATTATCAGACAGTCACTTATAGGGGAAATGTGAGAGCCGATTTTATTGTGCACCTCCTCACTACCTTTAATGATGTTCTACTGACTACAGAATGAATCTCAATTTCACTTTTAACAATAGCTTTAAAATGTTTCTGTACCCTTGTACAGAAAAAAGGCCTGTATTCCTTTTCAGAATATACCAAGTTATGAATTAAATTTAATTGAACATATTAATATAGTTATCACCCTATCCTTGTCATCATATCAACTCATTTTTCCTCCTCAACGACCCCAGGTTAAGGCCAACTTGTACTGATGTTGTTTCTATCCCGTCCTATTTCTCTGAAGCTATTATTAATATTTCCACTTCCTAGAATAACTTAGTCTCTCAGTTCCCATAGTTCTTCCTACAGAAATCCCACCTAGCATTCTAGATCCAGTTAAATATACTTCTCTTTTAAAAATTACCTTGAACTCAAACATCTTAAAGAGATCTTCTCATCCTTTTTTTTCACACCTGAATACATTTATTTCTTCATAAACTTCCATCTTTCCTGGTATATAGAAATGCTTTGAACTAAATGAAAAGAGATTTGTGAAGCAAATATACAAACTTTAAAATTGACCTTTGTTAAATAGCCACACATCCCTCTATTATAATTTTCTTTAACTTTCTCACTGTACAATGTTAAAGAGTTCCTTTCTTTTTTAAAAACCTGTGGGGGTGGTGAGAAAAGAGAATCTCTTGTTTGTCTTGGCAACACTCAGATTAAACCATCTCTAAGAATTAAATCATCAGAAAGTTACAAAAGCAGTCAAGCTTGTATTTTGGGCAATCGGCGACTGTTTAATTTGCAATTACATGCACAATTTAGAAAGCACTTCAAGATAATTCAGCCTCCAGAGTATTGCTGACATATCAGCCGCTATAAAAGACAATTCAGTGGGGGCGGCAGGGGGTGTGGGAAGATCATATGAAATAAGTTGATAGGAAATAAGGAATCTTAACTTCAGGGTGTTAATCACCCAAATTGAGAAATGGAGTCTGTTGCATAATTGTGGAACATGCTGATGAAGTGTGTATTCCCCAGTGTTAGCTTCTTTATGTCTGGAATTTGCAATTAAAACCGAAACGCAGTCAGGCTTGAGAGTCATCAAGCTGTCAGTATTTACTATAGGTCAAGCAAGGAATCTAAAATTCACACACACACACACACATCTTTTCTGTTTCTGGTAACACAGCTGAGTTATTCACATTGTTCATAACCAGCAACTTTTTCATTAAAGATGAATAATAGGTATTTTGGTAAATGGATGTGCAGCTCTGGAATACGAATTTGGTAAACACAGAAGTTTATTCATTAGAAGGACATATACAGAGAATGTGTGCTGACGACTTAAACAGATTTCAAATTTTGAGAAAAGGATGCTATAACCTATTGAACATTTCAGTCAAGGTTGAGATATTATCTGCTGTCCGGGTAAATACTTTTTGACTTCTTGATCTAGAACATTCTCTCTGTGTGTGTGTATGTGTATATATATGTGTGTGTGTGTGTGTGTGCATACACACACACACAAATACAAAAAAAACAGAAATTCAACATTTTTTTTATTTTTTGCACAAAGATATCTTGACTAAGGATCCTAAGGCCTAAAAGAAAAGCACAGAATCTAAGTCCTAGTAATGGCCTCAAATAGCATTCCAGAAACACCTCAGTACAGCAGTTCTCAACCTATGAGTGGCAACCCCTTTGTAACAATGAAAATACATCACAGTATTAGGAAGGTTGAGAACCACTGCTTTAGCAGAATCAAGAAGGCTGTATTTTCCAAAATAATAATTTTTAAAGTATACAAAGAATACATATTAAAACGACACCATCTGGAACACCTTCTGTTTAGAGTTATTCAGAGCAAAAATGCTGTGTGTGGAAAATATCGTTGTAATATTTTTCTGTCTAAAAACACTCGTGCTATGTACATAGAGAAAAATTAACATGAAGATTCAAATTGGCGTGTCAATAGTGACTACATACAGTGGACCATTATCAGCATATAACGTCTCCAGTTCCAGGGGCTTTTTCTCCTACTTCTTTTTAGAAACATTAATATTTTTAGCATTTTAATCAAATGTAGATAATGATAGGGAAAAATATGTGAAATTCATTCATTAAACTTATTTTAACTAGCATTTCTGGTTAAAGTTGTTACTAATACAGAATAAAGGTTAAACTTTACAGCTGATTGGTTTCTATCTCTTTCAATTATTCGCACCATCTCTCTATGCCATGAATACAAATAATTGAAAGTTATTTTATTTCCAAAAGCCACAATTTTACATGTCATTTTCAAGTCTACCAGAGTCTCCCTTTGCTGACAGTCATTATCTCCCAAAGGGTGAACAGATCAAAAGGGAGATGAGAAGGAGGCTGATAGGATGAAATTCTCTTATTTTGACACAGTAACGATACAGCTCTTCAACAATAACAGCTATAATTAACGAGCTGTGTTTGAGTACTGGAGAGAAGCACATATTCCCTATCTTGGTAAACGATGCTACCATTTATCGAGTCACCCAGGCCAAAAGCCCAGCAGTCACCCTAATAGCCTACTTCAAAGTAGCTGAGAACCATGTTCCCTAAAACATTTGTTGACTTAATTCCTGAAAGTGATTTGTACAAGAGTATCGGTAGATTAACCCTTAACACTAGTTTAGAAAAGGATCTTTAGGTTGTTAAGTAACAAACTGACCTTAATTTTGAAATGGATTATGCTCTTCCATACCA